TCAATATTTTTAATTTTTGTAAATTTTTGACAATTTTATGCACATTTTTTTCTTTGCGTAAAGGCATTTAATGATTAACAAAAAAAATCTATGTCGCTAAACGATTGGAATTAAATGAAGAAAACACTTCAATATTTTTAATTTTTGTAAATTTTTGACAATTTTATGCACATTTTTTTCTTTGCGTAAAGGCATTTAATGATTAACAAAAAAAATCTATTTTTCTACTTTTTAGTGCGTTTAAACTCGTCTTTAATGAAAATTATTTTTAGATAATTTTTTTTAAACATTTCTTATTTGCTACTTTTTAGTACTAAAATTTTAATCTGTATATTATGGACTCAGATAAGAGGGCCCTTATCCACCCTTTACCGCCGTTCACTGAACACATCAGACGCGATGTTGGCACAACTCAGATTGCGGCGAGACGACCAACTGAACGAAACAATGAAATGCGAGTAGAAAGCAATTCTTTAAAAAAACAGACCAACATTCACCTCATAACCAGTTAAATCAGTTATAAAAATTTAACCAACGACCAAACAAATATAAGCTAGTGACATGCAAAAAATGTTGTTGTTTTTCCTCAACTCTTTGCGTTTTAGATTTTTTTTGTCTGTTTTTTTTGGTTTTTTTTAACAAAAAAGTAGCCCCCAGAAGCGAACATTTCTTCATAAACATTTTTGTTATAAATTATATAAAAATTTCCATTTATCTATAAAAATAAAATAGGTCCCGGCAGGAACTCATCACAAAATGGGATATTCTAGATATCCCTATGGTAAGGGTTCTATAAACTAATGCAGATACATATTCAAGCTACATTTGCAAATGTTTTCCTTCAAAATCAGATCGGATTGGCCAAAGATGTTGCCTTTAACATTTTTTACAATTTTTTTACCCGGGGCAAAAACTAAGTGATCTTAAGATTTTACAGCAGTGAGTCTTTTAGGTTGCACAAGAAAAAAAAATATTTTTGAAAAATGTCACATTAAAATCGGTTGGAAACTGTCGCAGGTATAGCATTTCATTTAAAATAAAACATGGCACCCCCTGCACAAAAAGATTTGAATATTATAACTTTGTAATTCACCAATATTTCAAAAGGGAATATGACAGGCATATTTACCAAGATTCGGCTTAGATGCAATAATTTACGTAGACATTAATTAAAAACAAAGTCTTCGTGTATTCATTCGGCGATTATGAGGAAAATAAATCGTAGAATCTTCTACACTGATTCTGAACCCTCTAGAAACTTGTAGAAACTCTTTGTATCTGATTTCATCCCATTTGAAGAAAATCATAGAGACGTATGAATTAAATACGTATAGAAATATAATGAACACAAGGACATTTGAATAGTTTTAAAAATCCTTGTAAAAAAATATCACACGAACTAGAAAAATTTAGAAACATCTAAAAATTTACAAAAATATCATTCTTTCTACCGAGGGATGGCCCAGGAAAATATAGAAATCTATCAAACTAAACTAAAATTTCCATAAAGTTCTGGATCGCGTTGACTTTTCTTAATCTTTTATATCAACGTGGAACAACAAGAATTTTCTGGATGGGTCTAGAAAACAATCCGGCACCGGGGGGCGATATTATTGGTTTAGCACCGACAACAAGAATTTCCTGGATGGGTCTAGAAAACAATCCGGCACCGCGGGGGGATATTATTGGTTTAGCACCGACCTCTTTTTTTAAATTTGGAACTTGAAGGGTATGCCCGCAAAGCTTAGCCTAGGCATCCACCATTTTACCCCAGCTGGTTGAACCCTATATTGTTACATACCCCTGCTGGTAGATTCCCCATATTGTTACATACACCGGCTTTGGGGGAGGGGGGGGG